TGCCACTGTAATGTGTTTCCCTCCAAACGTACTTGAGAGTGCAGTTAAGTCGTATGGAAACGTAATGTTTTAGAAGGCTGGCTGGAATAACAGGCCATTCAATGCCATACGGATGAGAGGGCACTTCATCATTTCAAAAAAAATCTCTTGAGCACTCATTGGTTGAGCTCCCATGCCTAAAGTTGCCTACCCCTGGTCTAGTCTATATTCACAGCTCTCTCTTTCTGTGCCAAATCTGGAAGGCCTTGCCTTTTCTGTCATTTGCCGGCTCCATCTCAGTGAGCATGTGCTGCATCAGTGTAAGCAGTGTCTCCCGGATTATGTTGTGCTGAAAAGTGGAGAATAAAAAAGCACCGGGGCATTTTAACCCGATACGCTCACGGCTCCTTCCTCCTGCTATTACTGTGACCACCTGTAATCTTGGCTGGGTTATTACGGAGGTATTCTGTTGGGTCGTCCCCCACATCACTGTCTGTGTATTTTTGGATCCTTTCAGTCATTGGTGTTTATCCACAGCACTTCCTGGAGATCAGCTGTCAATCAGACAATATGACAAGGTGACATCTTCTGCCTTCACTTAGTGGAGTTTGAGTTTTCAACTGTTTGTTCAGTTACATTTGAAATTCCTCATTTCCTTCCCCAGCCTCCGTCTTTCCTTTGTGACCCAGAAATTGCTGCAGTCTCAACACTGTAGGAAATGAACCTTCGAGGAACCCAAACTGCTCAGCAAGTATTCAAACTGAGGATTGTATCCCAGCTTTGTAAAACAGAAATGAAGAGGAAATGTCATATATCTCATATGTACAGTATGTATGGTGAAGGCAAGGAGGCTTGGGAATTTGACCACATGCAGGTTTTGTTTTGTAGGTTGATAAAACACTCTTACTTGTTAAAGATATTCTCTATTTATTAAAAACTCATTGGATTAGCAGACAGATGCACAAAACCTATAAGAAGGGCTGTTGTTGACATCTTGGAGATACACGGTTCTCTCTGATTGAAAAACGTAGGTATATTCTTAACTCAAGGTCCACTTACTAACAGAGGAAGACTGGAATGTGTTTGAAAGCCCTGGCAAAGCAAATTCATTATTTTATGAATAGATCAGAAGATCTGTCTCGTGACCCTCTAAGGGGTCCCGAGCCTCAGGTTGTGAACCATAGCCAGTTTAAAGTGTCATTTGTTTAGATGAGAATGAATATGATGGTTGCATTATATCTGATCTCCAGAACACAGTGTGCTCCCATAAGAAAAGATGCTACATGGATGGGACTGACATCTGAGAGGCTCAGGTGTGCTGTCTGAACGGCTGTGTGTTTATGCTCATGTGTGATTCTTCCTCTCATTAAACGTGTGTGTGTGTGTGTGTGTGGACGCAGGCGACGGCGTGGATGGTGCACATACAGTGATTAGGTGATCCGCTTCCTCCCTTTCATGTGTTTTTAGTCTCCTCTGCTTTGTTCCCTTTCTTAATTACAGCCGAGCTCTCCTCAGAGAGCGTGTAACCCCGCTCCCCACTTCCACAGCAGCATCCCATTAGAGCCACGCACCCGATGCCTCCCCTCTACCTTTATGCAGAATACAATTAAAAAACGGGGAGAGATCAAAAAGATGCCAGGAGTCTGACGAGGGTGATGTTTTTCTGAGAAATGCAGATTTGTCGTATTGATGGCTGCCCCATTTGGAAATCATTACGGGACGGGAGTAATCAGTAGAGCTGCATCAGCATTTTAGTCGTCGACATGCAGCAACACCCCCTAACACACACACACACACACTCACACACACACACACACACACACACACACACACACACACACCAACAAGGGCATGTGCTTTCAACAAAGTATTTCAGTTAGCCTCTCACACTGTTGGTTCGTTATTAGGATAAGTGCATTCTAAACTTGTTGTTGCTTTTTTACAACAACTCTCCAATAACTTGAGCCAGATATCAAGTCATCTTTTGATACTTGTGTTAAATAGCACATGCTTTGTCAGGAGTGTGTTTCCTTTCTGTCTCATTAATCCTGAAACTGTTAGGAGTCTTTAAAGCTTGATGGGAGGACAGTTTTTTTGGAAACATCTTTTTGATATTTTTCACATTAAAGTGGGCAAACTTGTGTTTTTTTCAATAATCAAAAATGATTGGCTCTTTTATTTGGACTTAAAACTTAACGTAGAGCTGAGTTGGCAGTCAGCTGTTGGAGCTCCCATTGAGCACACTGGGGTCATGTTCTTTGTATTAAGCATTAAGACCTCCCGACATGGAGTCTTAATTCTGTTTCTATTTTTAAATGCACTAGTTAATCAAATAAAATGCAAATACACAAAATAATGAAGACAATTAGGTGATTGTATTTTTGGTGTCTTATCAAACAGAAATGTCTGTTTGTGGCAGCAATTTATAAAATGCCTGACACATTAGTATTTATGCAAAGGACAAATAAAAATCGAATATTGCCATAAAGCAGTTGTGCTCGTCGATTATCATCTGGTGGCCTAACAACGTGATAGTTACCATGGTATCAACAGTGTGACACCACTCTGACAGTGGATATATGTATTCATATGAACCCTTCTGCAACCATTACAAAATGAAATACTGAAACCTAATTCAGACCACTTCTTTTCTTTAATTGTTTCAACCAAACCACCAACTTTAGTGGTGACAAAATATAGCTCAGAATAATCAGAATAATCCTAGGCCTATAGGATGAGCTCCTATAGGCCTAGTCCTTGCTACAATTTCATTAGTATTTGTTTATAAATAATCTAAAATAATGGATTCTGAATCTTTTGTTTCAATGCGAAATCTGTGAAGCACAGGATGCACTGTCAACCTTTTTATTTGGAGTTACTCAACTGTTTTGTGTTCAAAATATCAATGAGGTTGCCCTTTTAAAATGCACTAAATGTCATAGTGAGTGGAAACAAAGTGATGGAAGTTTTATATGTATAAAGCATAAATGATGACTGTTGGAGATGGTGATTCTGTCTTTTTATCTTCCAGCCCTGACGATCTACTGCCCCAGAGAGAGAGAGAGAGAATTAATTCAGTTTTACCTTTTCATTTAAATGCACCATAAATATTGAACTATTTTAACCTACACACTTGATACTGTTGTTAATTATGATACTCTGAGTTTTCTCCTCCTCTGCTGTGAATACTGTGAGAATATTCCAACATATAGACCAGACCTCTGCATACATTTGCATAAATCATCTCTGCGTAAACGTCTTCTTCTTCTTCTTCTTCTTCTTCTTCTTCATACTTAAACTTAAATCAAATCTTAAATCAAATCAGAGGATCAAGCCAGTCTCTTCTGAAACAAATACATACAAACTGATATTTTTTTTCCTTAATCTTACACTACCAGCTAATATCATATTTCATACACGCCCGCAGACATGCCCGCTGCCGCTATGTTTAATGTATAAACCCGCCTTATAGCAGATAGAAAACGCAGATGATAAATATGCATGTATTCAATTAAGGGTATTACAGAGGAGCTGATTTGCATAAAGATTTAGGAGCTTAACATCATATTTGTGCTATAAAACTTCACAATAGCCTAAACGCGAGCTGTTATGCGCGGGAGGGGGCAGGACAGGTATGTTTGAAAGAAACGAGGAAAAGAAAAAGAATTATAAATATCAAGGGAAGAAAAAAAAACATTCCAATATTGTTTAAGCGCATGAATCCGCAGCTGTATAAATTGTCAGGAGGTTAAATGTCTGGACGGATTTCGTTTTAAATCATTTAAATAACTATTTGAATTGACTTCAGTTTTCGTACAACAAAAGCCAGAACGGTGATGTGATAACGTGTCATTTTCTCCCACACCGCTGTAACTGCCGTCTTTTGTGCGAGATCAAACCTCTCCTCCGGTCCTCAAACACGACTCTCTCTCTGATGACGAAGTCCACTTTCCCCTCCCAATTAAGAGCAGAGAGCTAATTAGAATGAGCAGATCCGGGATCAGGCTGAACCAAACTGCTCTGTGGTGGAAATACAAGACCGAAGCCGCTTTCAGATGACATCAGATGACAGAGTGGAGTTCAGGAGATGGAGCTCTCTCTGTGGGATAAATAAAACAGGATGAATGATGCTCAGATGTAGAGAAGACACCCGCTGGAGCCAAAAGGATTCAAACGAATTGACACTAAATTGAACAATGATGCTCCAAACGATACAATTCTCTAATTCACGTCTTTCTTTGGTTCGATCTAAATATCTCTGTATACGACTGAAGACATGTGAAGGGCCTTGCCTTTCGATCCTGCAACACTTTTTTTTTTTTTGCAAAATAAAGCTTTTCATGAGTTTTGACTTCGAATGAGCCCGATATACCTTTCAGATATTCAACATAGGCTAAGTGTGAAATGACAGGAGAAAGTCAAAGTTTTGATACAGTTTACGAGAAGCTAAATTAACTAAACCGTTTAACTGTCTTTTGTGGTTTTGTTTGTCGTTTTTCAACGAATAAAACGGAATAAAAATGGGATTAAAAAGTTTAACACTGTGAGTCTTCATTCGATGGCTGATTTGAGAGACTTCGTGGCGTTGAGCTCAGCCCTGGATCTGTGCAGAGCCCCTTGGTGCCATGAAGAGGCTGTGAGCAGCAACCGTGCGGGGCTGTGTGGAACCCTGTCTCTGCGTCACATGAGTAAAGGTCCCGGCGGACGTCCTCAGTGCGCTCAGACAGACCGACAGCTCCAACAGCTCCGACAACTGACACGCTGTGCTGCCCTGACTCTTCTTCTCTTTCTTTAAAACTGACCTTTCTGACTGCAGCTCCGGACAGACAGATACGGTTGGCCGGTGGTCGGTAACGGTCGCAGAGGCACTGCCGCTTTTCAGACCGGTCGGTAAACTATAGCCAGATAGTTCGGTGGCGGAGGAATAGCCAATGAACATAAATGGTGCGTCGTGACGCAACAGGGCCCCGTTGATAAGGAGCGGAGAGTCCAACCGGGACTTGAGAAGGAGGTTTTGGGGGGCCAGCAAACACTCGCCTATCATCAGTCAACGTGAAGCCAACTCCTCCTCTTCTGCTGTTACGCACATGTATACAGCCTACTTGGCAAAAGACAAAACATTCACCAAACAGACTACTGTAAAGGAAAAGCGCTTCTCCAGACGCCCGGCGGGATTTTATAAAGCAAAGGCTGCGCGGCTGTTTTCTATTTTTCTCTGAATAGCAGAAGTAGTTTGAGCGACATAAATCAGCTGCTGTAGCATCAACTTGGACTGTTGAGCCTGGAGGAGGGGAGGACGACTGTCAGCTTTTTGGGACATATCTTTTTTCTTCTTTCTGACTGTGTGATGCGTTAGAAGCCTGCTGCCGGCTGCCAGTTGTACAGAGTTACTTATTGTTCTGCAGAATAAGGAAGATATTTGCCAATGCCTTGCATCTGACGAAATCCTGAAATATTTTCCCGGCGAGGAGGAGGCATCGGCGATACCCATGCAGCGGCGCTTCCATAGTTGGTATGTTTATTCATAGTAAATAGAGAGGGAAATATAGAAAGAGCAAATGATAGCGAGAAATAAATGACATCACACCTGAGAGAAAATCGATTCCAGTCAGAGAAACGAAGTCTGTGCGCTTATTTATGAATTAATCATAGCTTATTAATAATGAGAGCTGCAGAGATTCGGATGACGGTTTCCATTGGCAGATGAGACGTAGTGTGGAGAACACGTGTCCAATTTTTCCCTCATATTTTTTCCTCCCTAATCTGGATTTCTCACTTGTCACGGCAAGAAAGGAAAACCTTTAGAAAAAGCAAAAATTTTGAGTGGCGTTATTGCGCAGATTTTTGCCTCTGATGGACATCTTGGCTTGCAGATCCGAAGAGAACAGTTATAATATCCTCCCCTCTGCGGCAACGATGCTTTTCCATGGCCTCCCTGGAGGCGACGTGCACGGTGTGGTGGAAGAAATGGACCGGAGAGGAAAGAGCGAGTCAGCAGCCATCAGCTCAGCCATCGATATGGGGGAATCAGAGACGGTAGGAGACGTTCCTTTGGCCCTCTCGGCTCGTTAGCGCAGGCAGCATGGCAGCCTGGAAACATGTGACAGTGGCCGCACTCTTACAGCTCCAAGCACTGTGATTCACTTCTGAACGCTTTTTACTTTTAATTCACGCTGAAAAATGGGCCAACAAATGCCCGAGCTTATTGTGTAGTTGCTCTCCGCTCTCAAACTTCCTCCACAAGGCCTGAACATTGTGATTCCTTCACTGCCACTGTTTAATCTAAACTTACTTTAGTCCCAGAGAAGCTCCAACTGGAACCAGAGCTGAGAAAGATACACAATTATTCATGAAGAAAAAAAAATATTTTTTTAAACTTAGCAATTCGTTTATTTAATTGTGCCTTCATGATGCGTTCAAAACACACAATAAACATGCGCATATTCTATGGCTCACAAAGCAAAGATATATACATATATATATTTCCTTTTTTAAACAGACCTTATTTGGAATTTTCTTTTATAATAAAAAGAAAAATTCGATTATTATTCTATTTATTTTTTTTACACTTGTAACAATTCAATTAAAATGCATAATTCTAACTATTGGAAAGTTCAATATTAATTATTAAATGCGCCGCAATGAATATGAAACGAGAGAAGATGGGATGGAGAAATAGTTATTTTCAATTCAGCTTCCATATTCTGTTGCAAATTATTCGTGGAGGGCGTGCGCGTGTACGTGCACCTGTGTGTCTATTTTGCAGGCCTCTCGAAAATAACATGAACTGGCAGTCCCCTATCATAAACCTGTGTTTGTTATTGCACCTTTAATTTACATAGTTATTATTTTGAGGAGAAATTAACAGCACTGATACCACTGATACAACAGCACACATTTCATAAGAACATACACAGCGGGTACATGGTTCTTAAGATGTTAAATGACTTCAGTATGTCTACTGGTGTTCTTTTAATCTGCTGCTATACTATCAGCAATATGACAATAGATTTTTAATTCCTCACACTGTGGTCTTGGAGGGGAGTTTGCGTTGTCCTTTTCTTACTCATTGCATTTTAATATCATTATAATGTTAATATCTACTATTATTAAGGTTGTTGAGACAAAAATACAGTTTTAAACTTCAACAGTATTTCTTTACAATATTTCTAAAATCCTCCCATGTGGTGGCTGTGGCCCTCTTTAGTGAGGCTATAATTGACGATACTCATATATAGCGAATACACCGATCCTCTACTAGGACTTTATACTATATTATTATTATTATTATTAATGTTGTTATGGATGAAGCCATGTTAGCATGTCTTCATGTTAGGCTATCATGTCATACAGAATCGTTGCACTTGTGTTTCTTCCGACATCATGTCCCTGACTCTGTGTCCTCGTGCCTCTCTCCGTTTCAGTCCATGCCGTGTATGACCGGCGAGCGCGTGGCTCTGTGCGCGGGCTGCGGCAGGAAGATCGCGGACCGCTACTACCTGCTGGCAGTGGACAAACAGTGGCACATGCGCTGCCTCAAGTGCTGCGAGTGCAAACTCAACCTGGAATCTGAGCTCACCTGCTTCAGCAAGGACGGCAGCATCTACTGCAAGGAGGACTACTACAGGTAGGAGGCCGAGCAGGGCCCGGAGCTCCACGCTCCGTCCACCACACGGTGTTTGGGATTCAAAGAGCGAAATGTGTGTCGGAAATGATTGTTGTCGTGGCTGGTGAAGATACTCTTTTTAAAGTTACACCACAAATGACCGGGGATGGAATTAAATAAAGAAACAATGAAAGAATGTAAATGCAAAATTACGTCAATAAAATATTTTTTCTGGATTTGGTTCTAAAAATCAGTTTAATTTAAGATAAAAAACACGATTTATACATCATGTCTTTCTCACCGCTTCTTTCCTGATAATATGAGTTTGTACAATTTTGTTTCACAGCTGATAGCTGATATTTAGTACCATAATACACTATCTATTTTTTATCCAGATACAATCCACGTGTTTCTCTCACGTGTTAACAAACGGAAAGAAAAAAAAAGAAATAGGATTGTTTAAACTAACAATATCTGGGTAAAATTCAAATTTAATTAAATTGCAATATTGCCAAATTGATGCAAACTATCTGTTTGATGTGAATTCACATCATTAGTAAGAAAAGTTTCTTAGAGCGCTGTTTGTGAGTGCGTAACATCTCCGTATCATGCAGTCCTGCCACACTGAGCACACCAGCAGCAGCCTGCAGGGCTCCGCGTCCACCCGCTGATGAGGTTTCTGTGTTGTCCGCAGAAGATTTTCGGTGCAGAGATGCGCTCGGTGCCACCTGGGGATCTCAGCCTCGGAGATGGTGATGCGGGCCCGAGACCTGGTCTACCACCTCAACTGCTTCACGTGTACCTCCTGCAGCAAGATGCTCACCACCGGGGACCACTTTGGCATGAAGGACAGTCTGGTGTACTGTCGGTTGCACTTTGAGACTCTCATCCAGGGAGAATATCAGACACATTTTAACCACGCGGACGTTGTCCCGCACAAAGGCCTGGGCCCGGCCAACACGCTTGGACTATCCTACTTCAACGGCGTGGGGACAGTGCAGAAAGGCCGGCCCAGGAAGAGGAAGAGCCCTGGGCCGGGCGCCGAGCTGGCTGCTTATAACGCAGGTAAGGATTTACAACGACGGTAGTTAACCTATTGACACGCGTGTTGAGCTCTAAGAAATGCGGACAGTTCAGCATGTCATTCATGTATATTTCGTGTTTGATCGTGTGGTGGTACTGATTTTAAAATCTCAAAAACTCAAAATCTCAAAAACAATGATCCAGGGTCGAAAACGTAGAATAGAAAAAAAGAAACAAAAAAAACACCGCAGCCATATTGTAAAGTAAATGTTGCTCCATCGTTTTATTGAACAGCCTCAGCGTGATACCAAGTGATTAAGAGCGACAGCTTTCCTTAATCAAACCTTTTGAACAGTCCTATAACGGCTCATAGTGTGTGTGTGTATGTGTGTGTGTGTGTGTGTGTGTGTGTGTCTCCTCTCATAACTTTATGATAGCTTCATCATATGGCTTTTACTCTCTGTGGTTTTATAAATATTAGTTATAGGCAGTTTAGAATGACTTTATCATAACTTTACCACAATAACGACAGACCTAGTTTTTAACCTCGCTATGGTGTGTGTGTGTGTGTGTGTGTGTGTGTGTGTGTGTGTGTGAGTGTGTGTGGGTGTGTGTTGTATTGTGCTAAATAGCAGCCCTACTGCATTACTTACATTTTTCTTTAAAGTTCCTTTAACCTTTTTGTTGGAAGTTAGTTGTTTTCAATGATTTTGATTCAGGACTTGTGTGTGCTTGGCGTTATTTGTGTCAGCATAGGATCTTCCATCATGATAGTCTGTGTAGCTATATTGAGCTAACCATTTCTGTCAGAAACAGCAGCAGCATGGTCACGTTGAGGCCAAACAGTGTGCATGAATAAGCCTGCAACAGCCACTAATACACAAAGAGAACAGCATGCAGGCCAAGTGAGGCCAGGCAGCACCAAACCAAGTGGCCGACTGAGAGGAAATAAAAGTGTAAAACTGTCAAATGAGAAAAAAAAGCAAGAACACAAATACAGGCCACATAGCATTTCTTTTAAATTTAACTTTTCATACAGCTTCATAGGATTTCATTAGGTCAACGAGCTGCAGCAGTCTTAACAATTCTTAACAATCTACACGGAGTCAAGGCTTCTCTAAATGCTGAACGTAAAAATAATCACTTCATTGTTGGTGGTTTGTAGTCACGTTCCAGTTTCCTCAATCTGGTATTCAAAGTTTTTTGATGTTCTGGCTATAGACACACACACACACACACACACACACACACAC